GTCACATGGGCGGCAGGCCACTCCCATCCGGTCACATGGGTGGCAAGCCACTCCCACAAAGGAGGTCACACCCACAGAGTAGGTTCGAACAATTTTTGAAACTCACCACTGCTCTGGGCATTAAGCAAGATACAGTAACTTATTATCTGGTGATAATAAAATATAAGAATAATACAGTCAAAACAAATCCAAGTGAAAGAACACAACAGCTCCATCTGTTCCCTCAAAAATAGAATGTACACAACATCAAAAAGAACTGGCAGAATGAAATGGGAAGTGTAGCAAATAAAACAACAGCTTTTGATCGGTGGTGGGATTCAAAAATGTTTACTTCCAATTCTGTGGGTGTGGCTTGGTGGGGGGTGTTTGGTGGGCACAGCAGGGGAAGGATACTGCAAAATCTCTATTCCCTCCTCACTCCAGAGGAAAGTTACTGCAAAATCCACATTCCCTCCAGATCAGCTGGGACTCGGCAGGCAGAAAATAGATAGGGGTGGGGCCAGTCACAGGTGGTATTTACCGGTTCTCCGAGCTACTCAAAATTTCCGTTACCGGTTCTCCGGAACTGGCCAGAACCTGCTGAATACAACCTCTGTTCTCAATGTTTTAGAAGCCTTAAAGAGGGGTCTTCAAGGCAATTGATAAAGTAACATGGTGGGAACCAAGCAAGCTTCTCTTAGTAGAGGAGCCATTACCAAGAAAGTCCTGTCTCTTTTTTGTCACCCTTCTTAAAGCTGAAGAAAATCTTAGCAAATACTTTTCTGGCGCATGTCTAGTTGTCAGTTTTTCATTCGACACCTAGGAGGTTTAGCAGGGGGGGGGGTGTTGAGCAAATGTTCCTAAATTAATCTCCCCAATCTGGAGACCTCTGCAGGCATTTGGACTGCAAAATTCTACCCTGCTTTCTAAATTATGCTGGTGGGAGATTCTGGGAATTGTTAAGCAATGAATTCTAGAGAGCACTTACTTGGAAAAAGATGTGTTACAGCAAGGGTATAAAAATGTAACTACCAGTAGTAAGTCAAATTGACACTTAGGTTCCATTTTTGCAGTCACTGGGGACCATGAGCAGACAGGCTAATATTTAAATTGTGGTTGGAGGTTATTTAGAAAACAGGGAGCAGTCCTGCAGGAATTGAAGGCACCTATTTTGCCCCTTAAATATTATTAATTTCTTTTTCCCTTTAGACCATGGTGTCATCTACTTTTGGAACATATTTCATGGGTGGTGTTAGGATTTTCTTTCTCAATTCTAAGACTATACCTCGAAGGGCACAAAACCTCTGTCAAAGTTTTATCCCTTAGAAAAACTATGTCACAAATCCATTCCAAAAGATTTTCAAGTGACTGCATGCATCAAATGCAAAGCATGCCAAAATTCGAATTTCTGAGCCTCTTCCTCCTGTCAGTGTGTTATGATGAGCTAGAAGATGATCTCTATGGGGCGGGAGGATTGGCTCCACCCATGTCTTGTTCCAAGAATAGTCTGGTATCAGGATGTTTGCTTAAAGAAATGTCTCTTACACCCAGCCCTGCAAAGCTTAGAGCTGAAAGGAGTTTCTGTCAAGTCCCAAGAACCAAGAACAATGGCTGGAGTTACTTCCAAGAAGTTTCCTTTATTGTTCTTCATTGTTCCACTAGACCTATAAGTGAGAATCACTAGGGAGGAGCTGTTTTAAGCCTCTTCCTTCTGACCAAACTGTCCAAGCTTCATTACCTCTTTGCTCTCTGGAATGTTGCCCCTTCCTCCTAGGAATCCAGATTACATTCCACCCCAGTAAGACATACCCTTAAGCTTAAACCAGGGGTTAGCAACCCACAGCTCTGGAGCTGCATGTGGCTCTTTCATCCCTCTGCTGCAGCTCCCTGTCTCCAGTCAGCTCCACAATTGATAGGGCTTTCAGTTAGGACAGGTAGAGGAAAAAGGATGCCGTGCTAGGAGAAGGCTCTATGGTGGAGGAACCGAACTTCCGTTCCAGAATTGAATGGGGAGCTTCCAGTTAGGACCTTTGTGGCTCTTTGAGTGTTTAAAGTTGCCAACCCTTGGCTTAAACCACTGTTCTCTTTGTCTTGTGTCTGCACAGAGTTATTCAGGAATGGCAAGCAATGACCAAATACACAAGGCAACTTTGTCACACACACAAAAAACCAGAAATTAAGACAGGGAAGCATCTCTCAATGTTTGAAACCAAGGTGAAGAGCCTTACATGGAGCAGGTCAAGCAGGATATATTCATTGACGGAGAAGAGGGTCACTTGAAACAGTGTCATAATGAGCAGCTGGACGGGGCTGACTTTGCCCAAAATGGCACCAAAGGCGATACAAACAGAACCCACGCAGAAATCTGCATTAATCAGGCTGAGAGGAGAAGGAAGAGATGGGGAAGTCAGAGAGAAGGCTACTGAGGCAACACAACAACGAGCATCTTGGAATTGCAGTTGATCACATGAGCCAGCAGTGAGACATGGCTACAAAAATGACACCTGGAGTTTCATGATGCACCCTTGAAGTCGTGGTTGACCCTTGGGGATGATATAGAGCAGTGTTTCCCAACCTTGGCAACTTGAAGATGTCCGGACTTCAACTCCCAGAATTCCCCAGCCAGCGAATGCTGGCTGGGGAATTCTGGGAGTTGAAGTCCGGACATCTTCAGATTGCCAAGGTTGGGAAACACTGATATAGAGGATGACATTAAGAGCCGTGGTTGCACAGTGGTTAGAGTGCAGCACTGCAGGCTACTTCTGCTGACTGCCGGCTGCCTGCAATTTGTCAGTTCAAATCTCACCAGGCTCAAGGTTGACTCAGCTTTCCATCCTTCCAAGGTGGGTAAAATGAGGAGCCAGATTGTTGGGGGCAATAGGCTAACCCCATAAAACTGCTTAGAGAGGGCTGTATAGCACTGTAAAGCAATATATAAGTCTTCAGTGCTATTGCTATTGCTATGTAAAGCACTATGAAGCAGTATATAAATGTAAGCTCTATTATTATGTAAAGCACTATGAAGTGGTAAAGGCTAAGTGCTATTGCTATTGCAAGCTAACTCTGCCCAGCACACGCAGTTCAATCTTGACCGGCTCACGGTTGACTCAGCCTTCCATCCTTCCAAGGTGGGTAAAATGAGGACCCAGATTGTTGGGGGCAAGAGGCTGACTTTGTAAACCACCTAGAGAGAGCTGTAAAGCACCATAAAAAGGGATATAAGTACCATTGCCATAGGTATATTTTGTCCATGATGATCTGTCCCTAACCTAGGCTTTTAGGTCAATGAGGCCTCATCAAGAGAAGGTGGATTTCTAAATCTCAGAAGCTCACAATTCTTTTCTTTTTTTTCCCTTTTTCTTTTTTGCCGGAAAGTATTCAGGCAAATTGGGAAAGGGTCAGATCAGAGCAATGAGGACTGAAGAACTTAATTTGTGTAGCTTTGAGATGATTGACAAGGAATCTAACAACACTCTTCCAATTTGTCAAAGAGGGCCACCCAGAAGCTTTGACCTGATAGACCTTTTCCATCATCCAATCTGCAAAATTTACAATAATGGTCTTAGCTTGGTCTAGGGCAGCATGAGCTTTCAGGCCCCAATATCCCTTCAGGTACCATCCCTTAGTGCCCATCACTTTTTTCGTCCCATTGACCATCTTCTATTTTTTTAAAAACTGCAAACAGCAGTTTTGCATGCTGTAAAGTAGAACATCAGCCTCCAGTATCTTATCCGTTGGCAGGAGACATCTCTGGACTCACAAGGTCTTCTAGGATGTCCTCTAGAGCAGGGTCCTCCAACCTTGGTGCATTCTGGCTGAGGAATTCTGGGAGTTGAAGTCCACAAGTTGTAAAGTTGCCAATGGAGACCCTTGCTCTAGAGAACATCCTGAAAGTCTAGCTCATTATTAATAAGGTAAGAGCCTTGGTGGTGCAGTGGTTAGAGTGCAGTACTGCAGGCTACTTTTGCTGACTGCTGGCTGCCTGCAATTTGGCAGTTCGAATTTCAGCAGGCTCAAGTTTGATTCAGCCTTTCGTCGTTCCAAGGTGGGAAAAATGAGAACCCAGATTGGTGGGGCCACGAGGCTGACTACGTAAACCGCTTAGAGAAAAGCAGTATATAAGTCTAAGTGGTACCATAGCAGCCATTTTGTCAATGCACTCAGAATACTCACTGCAAATTCCACCTGTGCCTTTGGTCCAAATTCCAAGTGTGCCTCAGAACAAATGGAGTGTTTCAGATGCTGTTTTTGGATGTCGTGGATATTTATTTTGGGCTCCATAAATGATAAGAGATTCCATCTAATCTCTCTCCCAGTGCACATCTTTGCATTCCTCAGCCACAAATTTAATCTATCTTCGTTATCGTTTCATGCCCATCTTGTGTTCTGCTACCCAGAAATTCTTTCTTTCCCTGTCCATGGAGGCCAACTTACCTTTCTACCCCAATGAGTATCTTTCCATGCTCAAAGGTGTGGAGCCAGCCCTGCATCAGAAGAGCCCATTGGATCCCAAAGGCAGCGAGGAGAAAATTGAAGCCAACAGCTCCAAAGCCGTAGCGTTGAAGAAAAGTCATGAGGAAGCCAAAGCCCACAAAAATCATCACATGGACATCTTGGAAAGCTGCAATAAAGAAAGAGGCTTCGTTACGTGGACTTTCGCTCTCATTCCACACTTACCTGCATGCTTACCAAGCACCTCGCTCAATGCTGGCTACCAGTTTACCCATGAATGTTCCTCACTTATGCTCTACAACAGTGTTTCTCCACCTTGGCAATTTTAAGACGTCTGGACTTCAACTCCCAGAATTCTCCAGCCAACTGGAGAACTGTGGGAGTTGAAATCCACACATCTAAAAGAGGTTGAGAAACTCTGGTCTACAATGAGCAGTTTGTGCCAGAGCATTACATACAATAAGCATCTTCCTTAGATTCCATCACAGTGCTGCCTACAATGCAGATGTTCTATAAAGAAGACTTCAAGCATACTGTAGGAGATAAAGTAGTATGGACAAAGTTCCTTAAAATCTGAAAAACTCTGCTTGAGTGCAAAGTGAATTCTTTTCTATTATTCCCGAAAACCACAATTTATTCTGAATTAATAGGCAATGCTGGTAGACATGATGACTAGAATAAGTTGCAGAGTCAACTTTTGACAGGTGAGGATTCCAGTAAAAGGGTAACACTAGTTGCACATAGGAGATCTGAGTCCAGTTAATGTCCATTTATTGGTTGATCTTCAAACTATCTTTCATTTTTCTTTCTTTCATTCAATACACCACACAGGAGTGCTGTGAAGGACATCTGTTATCAGTGGCCCTTGGCAAATAAGTTGCCTTGAATTTAGGAAGATTTATTTATTTAGTATATGGCAAATACCATACATGGATTTACAGTGGTTCACATGTTAATGTCCACTCCACCCAGCCATTCAAGGACAGGGTGGTCTATGTTGAAAAAAAATCTGGCATTAGGTGATTGTAAGCTTTTGATGGACATTTGGACACAATGTAGTGGATATTTTATCAAGGAGCATCACAGTCACAATGAAGTGTAGAGACAAGACCCCACTTAAACAATGAGACCTGGCAAACACTATGTTGGGTACAGATCCTGTTCAGAGTTGACCAATACTGGCAAGGAAGATCAAAACCTGGCACCTTTTGTGTAGGGTCATCTCTGTAGCTGCCTGTATCTGGGCATTCAGCAGCCCATTTGGCTTTCCACTGTGTGTTGACGTCAACGTTGTTAGACAGCTGTTGAGTAAATGCCAGAGAAGGCTTCCTGGATTTAAGTCTGCCAATTGATAGATGAGGAAGATCAGCGTGCACAGGAAGAAGTGGGTTTCTCATAATTTTGTGGTACTCCTTCACTAAGGACCTAGGAGGACTCATCTCAAAGGATCTAAGCCCCAGAGCCCACTGTAACAGCATTGCAAAAAAGGCATTAAGAATTGTCAACCTACTCTTGCGAAACTTCTTCTCCGGTAATATTGTACTAGGGTTTACAAAACCTTTACCAGACCAATTCTCAAATACAGCTCATCTGCCTGGAATCCACATTGTATATCAGACATTAACACAATTGAGCAGGTTCAGAGGTACTTCGCGAGAAGAGTCCTTCACTCCTCTGCTCACAATAGAATTCCCTATGCCACCAGACTTGAAATTTTGGGCTTGGTCAATCTGGAACTGTGCCACCTGTGGTATGATCTAAGAAAAGTGCACAAAATTGTCTGCTACAATGTCTTATCTGTCAACGACTTCTTCAGCTTCAACCTCAATAATACACGGGCAAACAATCGATACAAACTCAAGGTAAACCGCTCCAAACTCAATTCCAGAAAATACGACTTCAGCAACAGAGTGGTCAATGCCTGGAATGCTCTACCTGACTCTGTTGTCACATCCTCTAACACTCACAGCTTCAAGCTTAAACTGTCTACTGTGGACCTCACCACATTCCTAAGAGGTCCATAAAGGGGGCGTGCATAAGTGCACCAGCGTGCCTACCATCCCTGTTCTACTGTCCCCATCTATTTGTATTCATTTCTTTTGTTCATGTCCATGTTTATATTTATACCTGCTATCTTGTACATGTTTGACAAACTAATAAATACAAATACTAAGGTTTCCTGTCTTCGTAGGGCTGTTGGTACAATGTGGCTCAAGATGGGGAGCCAGCAAGTAGGAGTAGATTTTATGCAACCCCTTATGATCCTCATTGTATCATTTAGTCTAGTCTGTCATTTAGGAAGAAGGTAGGCGTTCTGTTCTCACAATAGGTTTAACCAGGCCAAGTATAGTTCTCTAGCAGAATCATTCACACAAAATAATAAAACCAAGTTAATGTCAAACTTACTTATTACTTTTTTGGCTTAGCAGGTTGTGTGAATTCAGCCCCTTTGATTAGTTTATGGTTTAATGCATTGTGGCATCCCACAAAAAGTGTGATTTTGGTAACCGGGAATAAATTTATTAGGTGAACTCAATCAATATTGGCCTAATTTCTAATGAGAAAAAAAATGCTATTGCCAACATTTTTTTTTGGTCAAGATCTTCAGCATCTAATAGTGAACTACTGGAATTTTCTCTATCTGTATGATAAATAGCAACATTCATCCTATACCCCAGGGAGTGGAGTAGAGAGATATTTTGTCTCCAGAACAAACAACTTTGTAGATCTTTCACCAACTTTGCTGCTCATCATATCCTCAAGATAGGAATCTGCTCTGATGCTGTAAAATGAAAATTGGCAATTATTGGTGGTCCAGGAGATGCCGAAGGCAAGGCAGTAAATTGAAGGTGGGTGTTGTGTTTCTTCCCTCACTGGCTTAGGAATCTACCTTTCCCCCCACCTATTCATGAAACCAGAAAACTACATGCATTGCCCCATTCCCCACTAGTAGTTTTGAGAAGTATTTTCACTGCAGGAGGTTAAAAAAACCCACAAAAATAACAGGATAGATTTAGTTCTGTGTCCTCAGTTTGTTCTGTTCTGGCTTTATTTATTTTTTTAACTGTTCACACACACACACACACATATGTATATATATACATTATATATATATATACACATACACACACACACACACACACACACACACACACACACACACACATACATACATATATACATACATACATACATGCATACATACATATTCACAATCCGAAAAGAACATTTGAGAGAAATTCATAGAAGAGCAATGCATTTCTGCAGCTTACTATATCTTGGTTATGAAATGTCCAAAGAATGAGTGCGAACATTTTTTTTTTATTTCATTGTACAATCATCCCTCCAGCACTATGCAACTTTCCTGGCTCCACTTCCTTCCTTTCGATATTATCAGGAAGGACATTTTTCATTCCTCCCATTGTATTTCTTCAGATTGCGAAGCGTGGACACCAGGAAGGTTCCAGAATGAAGACATGTCCCCAAAAAATTAGAGGAGCAGCATGTTTCACCAAGTCAGGAAGTTTGTATCAGCAAGGGAAATTGTAATGAAATTTTCAAGCTTCCTTAGATTCACATAGAAAAATAGAGGAAACATCCCATAGGTGGATGGGAGGCAATAGAATAGAATAGGATA